AGGAGCAGATGAAGGTATTGCAGCTTTTCAGTTAAACAGAGAGAGTTTGAGGGTAATACTGTGAAACAACTTAACATTGGATTTCCTGGGCTATTTTTGTTTTCAGATAGTCTTTGGCCAGTTGTTGAAAGCTGCCTGATCGTGTAGAAGACGGGTCTGTTGTGCTGTGCTGTAGTGTCTTCCTTTTTCATAGTGGTCTGGCTAATGATGTGGAGAACTGATCTGTTTGGTAACCTGAATAATTTAATATCCACTTCTTAAATTTGAGCAGTGTAAACCCTTTTATTCTCAAGGCTAAGAGAAGATTACACTCGTCTAAACAGCTTCTTAATTGTTCCCTTTTAGAACACAATAATTGCTCTTGGGAAACTGCTAAATTTCTGCACCAATTGAAACATGAAATGGAATTATATTATTCATTTAGATTAACTGTGTCTGGGTTTGCTTTTATATTTGTTTTATTTTTAATTGAAGAGGAGGAGATCTGCTTTTTATGGGAGACTTGGTCACCTGGCAGATGTGGAAGGTCATGAAAGGCCCCACTTGGCAATACTGAATTACAGATGCTGTGGCTGCATTTGAGCCAGCCAGGTGGACTCTCTGCTCTCTCTTCGGGATACAACACGTATTCTCCAACTCATTTAAAGAATGTTTGGGGAAAAACCTTTTTTTTTTTTTTTTTGTTCTCTCTCTCATCCCCCCTGCCATTGCAGACATTATAAAGAGAAGTTGCCGTTCCCAGCTAGGTGGTTCTTGAAGCATTTTATTCTGGAGCCCAGTCAGGGTTCCTGGCATGTAAGCATGGGTTGGCAAAGACCTGTGTCCAGCAGGTTCTGTATGATAATTAAAAAAAAAAAAAAGTGTCTGGGTTTGTTATCTGTTCTATATGATCTTGCTGTTAATTAAAGGGGTTTTTATGATTACAAAAATAGTATAGGAATCTACACTGTATTGTTATTAGACAGGTTGTCTTAAACAGTCTCTGCTCTACTTAGCCAGTAATACTTGTGAAGTCTTTATCTAGAGATTTATTTTAAATTTATAAGATGGGTTTTTTGGGGGATCTTTTTTGTTAAGTTTTTTATTTTAATTATGAGACAGAGAATTTTTTTGGGAAGGTTTAATCCTTTCTTGGGTAAAACTATTAAATATCAGAACAAGTGAAGCAAATGCAAAAGAGAGTTGACTGTAAGTTCACTTGACCAGCACAGAGTAATTGCCAGGTTTGTAAATAACCCACTGAGGTCTTTCAAGTGCTTGAATGTTTCTTGTGGTATATGAGATACTGATTAGTATACAGAATATTTCGGGTGACACAGTGATATCTGCCATCGTGGGCTACTTCTTCATTCCTCTTATAACAGTTTCCACCTGGGGAGTGTCACTCCCTATCTATCTTACCTATCTTCCTTCCTATCTGTATCAGGAGCCTGTCCTTCCTACTGCTGGAAACCTTTCTGGCGAGAGCTGCTGTGAGTTGGGGTGTGTTGCTGCTGTGCAGGCTTCAGCGGCCAGCAAGCACCTGTGCCTGCCTTTATCACTTAGCAATGGGAAAGATGAGTTGGGGAAAAGGGTCAATGTAGACAAGTAGTGTACTGGAGCAAAAAAAACCCCAACAAGTATAGTCTCAGTTGTGTTGTCTAATTCCCCCCACCCCCCGTAAGTCTGATTTGTAGTAGTTTGCTTCCTTAGACATTGCTAGCTGCCCTGCTCTGGTTTTCAGCTGAGCAGGTGAGTTGCAGTTCAGGCACTGAGAGTTGCCTCTGGCTGGGCAGCTTAAAGAACTGCTTGTGGATGATGTAAATGGGACTGCTTTTTACGTTTTTTTCCAGGCTCTGTTGACCTGATAGTGGCCGTGCTCTGGAGTCACCTCCAGTGACAGCTGACCCTGTGGCTGTAACAAGTACATGCTGACCACACTCTAGGTCAGCACTGCTGGGAAGGTGCTGGCTGTTGGCTCTGCTCAGCACAGCCCCACGGAAACCTTCTCTGCCTGAAAATGAGAGCATGAGTAGAGTTAGTTTGACATCTAGTGCAGCTTCATGATGGGCTTCAGGTGACTGAGGTCACTTCTGCTCCCCTGTCAGCTGCAGCTGGGCAGCCCCAAAGCTGCTGACCACCAAAAATGAAAAGAAGCTTTCAGTCAGGTAATTGAGCCAGCACAGCAGAAATGGGAAATGTAGATGGAGAAAGAGGGAGACCAAGAGCTGTTTGGGCGGCAAATACTGCACAGGAGCTAATTGTGAAACCCTGGGGATAGCTTATGGCATGACTGCTGTGGGAAACAAAAGCAGGTAGGTGTAGCTCTGCCCATAGGAGTGTGCATTGCTGTTAAGGGGGGGCAGGAGTAGGGCAAGTAGTAGTTTTCCTTCACCTTGAAGAGAAAGCCAGCTGCTGTCCCTCACCTTGCAAGAACTGTGCAGGACATTTTGCTAAAAGGGAGGTAAAACACAAATGCAGATGTGAGCAGGCAAACACCACACAGTGTAAACAGAACAACTGAACCCGACCGAAGGATTGCAGTCTGGTCCCTTACATTTAATCTCCTGTCGATTGAGACAGTTTGATAATCAGCATGTTGTGCAATGCTTCAATTTCCGTATTTTTCCAACTGAAAACAAATAGTCCTTGTTTGGTTAGACCATGTAATACTGGCAAGTTATTGTTAACTCATGGCCCTTCATCTTAATGCAGCATAGTTTAAACAGAAGGGCTTTTGTTATAGTAAGAGGTGGGGGGGAAAGCAGTAATAGTTATTGCATGTTACTGTGCAAGACACAAGGTGAGACTAAAATCCCCTGGAGAGACCTGTAACGTGGACCCAGAAAGAGCAGCGTTGGGCACATCTCAGGACTGAGCCTTTGTGCTTGTGTGTGAGGAGTCTAACGAGGAGCGGGTGGGATTGTGAACTGCACGGGTTTGTGTGCTCCACGTTTTCAGTGGTGAATGGGAATAGAAAGTCTCTGTGTCCAATCACAAGAGGTAATGGTCTGTTTAAAACAAAAAGACGTTTTGCAGCTCAGACGTTTAATAGGCACAGCTCAGTAAAAAATATTTGTGCTGTTTACCGTAGGGAGCCGGTAACAGTGGAGGAGACTGTTAGTAACGTATGCTGTGTAATCCTGAGCTCAGGTAACATGACCACCAAACCTGTTTGAGTGTACAACTGACATGGGGTTGTGGCTGCTTAGAAAAATACTGCATAATGTAAACAAGCTTCTTTTAATAGTGCAGAACACAAGGGCAAAAAAAGAAACACAGGAGTTCAACTCTTGGTGCATCTTGAGCTTCTCTAGGTGTTTCTCCGTGGTGGTGTTTTTGTTGTGTTTTAACCTCTTTTGCTGTGCCTGCTTCTGTTACTCTTTTAGCCTGGACAAAGCGTGTGAGCTGAGCTGTGTGCTTTTCTTTGACCCAGAGCTGGGTGGTGATTAACTCACACAGTTAATTTAACCGGTGCTCTGGGAGTTTCTACTTTATATAGGCTTCTCTCCATTGCAGTTTGAATCTGGCATGAATCTTCAAAACTGAGCTTTTTACAGTTGTTTTTCTAATTATTTTATATCAAACAGCAGCAGAAAACATAGTAGTGGAATGTTTTGGCTGTAAGCTTGCATGTATTCATGCATGCTGTTAGCGTGTGACATCGAAGGAGGAGCGTGGGCATCTGTCATGGATTTTTCTTGTTGCAGTATGGATTCAGCCCTGACTCTGGTTTAACTTCCCTCTCTTCTAGTACGTCACTTGCCTGCCAAAGAGCCAGCACATCTGAACGCATTTCCTGAGCACCCATCATCCCTGAATTACCTGAGGCCCAAGAGGCAGAGACCTCAGATGCTGAATCTGAGCGGTACCGAGATGTCTGGGGTACTCAGACCAAGGCCAGCAGGTCTAGACAGCCCGTCAAGCAACCGCTACGCTGGAGACTGGAGCAGTTGTGGGGAGAACTACTTCTTAAACCCAAAAGACTGCCTGAGTGAAGCAGACTATGATGACGTCCCTTCGGAAGACACAGAGAGCGGGGATGACAGTAGCAAAGCCGAGGAGTCGGATCCTCTGGTCAGACACCCGCAGCCCATCCCCAGAGAGGACACGTTTCAGAGCTATTTGACAATGCAAGCAATAGACTCTGCGGTGGATCACAGAGCAAACCTGAAAGACCTGCAGGAAAGTATTGATACTCTAATAGGAAACCTGGAAAGGGAACTCAACAAAAACAAGCTAAATATGAGTTATTAAATCCTGTCCTGCATGACACCTCCTCCTAGTGCCCCCATGCCCCTCACTGGGCTTCCCGCAGCTGTGTGAGGAGCGATGGTGCCCTTGAACACCTTGGGGTAAGGCTGTGGCCCACCTTGCGTTAACAAATTTTAAGCCATTCTGTTACGTTTCTGCTTTTTTGTTAGAAGAAGGTATTGGCCTGATTCTGGTGTGGGAGACACCATGAGGTGATTCCACATAGTGGCATTTCTCCCAAAAAATAGTGTGCACTTAGGCAGTCTGGGCAATACCTGGCAGAAGATAAAGCAACGTCGCTGCTGTCAGCGGCAGCAGCGCTCCTCCTTCCCGAAACCCTAGCTCCGGTACGGATCTTCCTCTCGGAAGAGGATGAACGCTGCTTAGCCTGAGTTTTGCAGCATGGACTTCACATAGACTTGTTTTACTATATATGCAACAGCTGCTATGAAAAATGCTTTTTATATATATATATATATATAGTATTTATATATGAAGTTTTAATTGTACAAATATTAATGTATTCCTGTATTAACACTTTTCAGTAATTATTTAAACAAGCAAAAATTAAATATTTTTCTAACCTTGTTTGTATATATCTGTGTATAAATGTGCATGTGTCTGTAGCCACCTTTGGAAAGGAAAGGTCTCTCAGAATTAGGAAGTGTCCCCGTTTCTAGGAAGACATGTTCAGTGGTGCCAGATGAAGTTACCCCGTGGGTAACAGCATTTGATTTATGCACAGAAATGTGGCCAGAGAGGAGGCAGGGTGAATGATTAATATAAATGACCTTGTGTGTTACAGGGGCATTGGTTTGCAGGTGTTGACTATTAGCTCTCTCTCTCTCACACCCACAGCCCTTTCTCAATTTTTTTCCTTTTTTTTTTTTTTTTTTTGTGTGTGTATGGTCCGGTCCCGTGTCCCCCCACCCCCCCCAGTTTTTTTTCATGTATAAATAAGGTCTGGAAGGTATTTACTTTTCAAGAAATACTTCTGGTTTGTCCTTGTAAGCTGTTACTTTATTCTTGAGGTTCCAATACCTTATATTTTTTTTCTTTCTCTCCAGAGTTTTATGTATTTTTGTTGAGGTGCCTTTTGTTTGGCTGCTAGTAGTTAGATGTGTTTGAGCCCTCTCTGAAGGGAGTGGCTCTGGAGGTGCAAGACTCAGATGCTGTATAAAGGCAGTTACTTTTTCCTTTTCTTTTTTTTTTTTTCTTTTTTTTTTTTTTTTTTTTTAATTAATCTCCTGAAAATGGAAACCTGAGTTGTTACATGAGGTTGAATGGGGTGAGTGATGTTACTCCTGAGGAGTTTGGGTGGGATTGCAGTTCAGTGTGACCTTACTGGATTCAGCTGTCACCAGCTTCTCAGATCATCTTTTATCTTTAGTCATTTATGGTGAGCAATTAAACACTTCATGTTAAGGAAACACATTCTTGGCTTAATTAAAAATACTTAGCAAATTGCATACAGATGTTTAGATGGTCCCTCTAACTAAAAGGAGCTACAGAGTCATTCCTTGTCCTTCACAGGTCACCCCCAGTGAGGAAGAGGGGATTTGGGCAGGGGTGGACGAGAGGGTTATGTGTTTTGGGAGGTCAGACATGGAGTTGCTGTCAGCTGGCAGGGTAGAACTTGATTCTCTTTGTCTTTTTGGTACAATGTTGGCATCCCGCCATGGCTTTCTGTTCACCCTGTGGGTAAGTGCTTTCTGCTAACCCATACTTCCTTCTGTTGCGTAATTAAAGAGTGAGTTATTTACAGTAGCAAGGAATTAAGAATTGCTATGGCAAACTTCACCCCTCTTTTCTAAGGATTATTTTAGTATGGTTTTGAATGGTTTATCCAATCTCATTAATTTATTTTTTATAAGTGTTAAAAGATGCAAAACAACTATTGCAATATGATGATACTGTATGAAAATGTAAATTTAACCTGAAGCATTTATCAATAAATCGATGTATTTTTTTAAACTTTTATACCTACAGAATGTGCATACTTTTTAAACTCAAAATTTAAATTCTAAATAAAATTTGAATTAAGTACAAAATTTGACTAAGCCGAGTTAGTGATTATTTAAACCTAAGCTGGTGCCATACATTTGTACTGGCTGCACACATGAATTAAGTCTATAAAGACATTTAGCTTTTCAGAAGATGTTTTGTTCTGTTTTCTTTTCTAGATTGACCTGGCATTTCAGTTACATAACTTAAAAAAACCCAAGCCAAACACTACTCAGTTTAAATCCAAAAGGCATATAATACTCGAAGGAAGCTGACAAACCAGTGTTGTGGCAGCATTTCTTCTTTTATTGCAGGGTGCCGATGCTTTTGAACACGGCTTGGCTTCTGCACTGGGTGTGGAGATGTATTGGCACTAGTTGAAAGATGTTTGCATTTAAAGTTTTTTGATAAATGGTATATTAAGTTTTCATTATTTATAATAATGTAGATGTTGTAAATGAGCACCTTTTGAAGAAGTGTCAGCTTTTTCTACAGGAAGGTTCTGTAACTCAGCGCAGCAGTGTGCTGCTCTGTCAGCTCTGATATTTTAACCTTACAACAGAGGACATTAATGAATAGATAAACTGTATTAATGTTAATCTAATTAGTTAATTAAAATATAGTAAAGTATTTCTGTTATTAAAATTAAACATTTGCTGTTGATCTAGTTAAATTAGATTAACATGTTTTGTATTTTAGGAGTCCTTTAATGAGACATTTCCCTAGTGGTATTTTTGTTATATGTTATCCCTTAGATACATTCTTAGAGATATTATTACATTTTGTATAGTTATTTATATAATATGGTCAAGTTGCATCCTTCTTAGGATTATTACTGATCCTTAAGGAAGAGGATTAGTTTGGGAATTAGCCTAATCTAGAAACACTAAACTGGGAGATTTAAAACAACCTGCTTCGACTAAAATAGTAATGAACATATTTTTTTTTTATATACAGAAGAGCAACCTTGGGCTGTGTGGGCTTTGCAGGGTAGAGCTGCTGTCGAGCACTCTGGGCACCACCAGGAACTTTTACTGTACTGACCTTTGTTGTTGGCTGCTTGGTGTAGCTTGGTTTGACATCAAGAGCAGCTCCTGTTCTGCCGAGGCTCTTATCACTGCTGGAAGAGGTTAAGCGCAGAGGGAAGAGCCCACAGTTTTGTCAGAGAGCTGATGTCTCTTCCCTGGAGTGTATGGACTTCCTTCAGGTGTGACCTCCTCTTCCCAGGTAAAGAAAATGGATGCAGATGCTCTTACAGAAACAGTTCCAAGACTTGCACCAGAATCTTGTACAAATTGTATACCCAATTATGGGCTTTTCTGGTATTTTGAGGCCACTGATGGCCACGTGCTGGCCTGAGTAGCAACCAAAAATCATGGTTTGTATGCATCTGTAGGTCTGTGCAACTCTGCAGCCAAATGCCAAGGATATAACACCCTTAAGGTGAGTTCAGGAATGGAGTAAGCACATCTGTAGAGTTTTAATCCATTGCTGTTTGTTTAAAAAGGATTGTCCAAATGCTTGGGCTGTGTGGCTGGTACTGAATTGCTTCTCCCTCCTTTTCAGCTTCCCAAAATGGCTTATTCCAGGAGTGTGCCAGAGATGGGTAGGGATTGTGTGGTAAGTGGAGTAGAGGGGTGGCAGCATGCCCTTGGGCTGGTTTAAGCTGCTGGGACCTACATCCTCAGAAACTTAAGGTCTTTAGGTTTGTCTTTCCCAAATGCGTGATGCATGTGGATGTTTATTAATGCACCAGGCAAGAAATGTAGCTGTGGCCATTCAGCCGCATTCTAAAAATAGAGGGAAGCATCCCCAATAAAAGTAGATATCCAGGGTTTTTACAGAATAAATCTATAAATCTGATAAGCCAGATGCACATCTGGTATTTTTGCTGCCAGGTCTTAACTCCTTCACCTTCCTCCCCATCCCAAGGTATAGGGTTTTCTTAACAGCAGAAAATGCCTTTTGAAATTAGTCTTCATCTCAAATTAAGGAGATAGCAACAGTTGAAAGATGGTTATTTGAGGTGGGGGGAGGATTGGTGTTACACTTCAGTGTCACTATGATTATTTGTTTTAAAATGTCATCCTACACAATGAGTTAACTGTTTTCATTGTTTTACTTTTTCAGAGCCATGCAGGAAACTCTCTGATTTGTTAGGTAAAATCAACCTGTGGAACAGTCTGCCATGAGATAATGTAAATCTGTCCCTACAGGTATTCGAACATCCAGGATTGTATTAGAGAGGATGAAAGACCATGATGGGATTTATAATCTCACGTCTCTGGTGTTGTTGTCTCTGGGAACAGAGATAAGGAGGAAAATGGCTCTCTGGACTCCATTTCCATTGGGGGATTCCTGCCGCTCCCCAGACTACTTTGCTCTTGGGGAGGAATGGGGACTGTTTGGCAGAGCCCTAATCCACTGCCTCCTTGTCCTCACTGTTAGAAAAACCCAGCTGAAACCCATCTGTCTTCTGGAATATTTTCTTAATCAACACTCTTGTGTGCCTCTGTGGTGGCACACAAGAACAAGGCTCATGTTGTTCTACCTTCTGGGTTGTAGTTACAGAGCTGCTGTGGAGGGGAGATGGCAGGTAAGTTGTGACCATATGGTTGACTTTAACATATATGTAGTTTGCAGCCCAGTTAATTGAAAATCTGTGGAACATGATCTGAGATGCTGTTCTAATGAAGTCCAGGCCTGATAACAGGGTGCTGAGCTTTTTAATTAGTCAGTTGTGGGATATTTACATATCGGTTTGGAGCAGGTTGTTAAATGTTGATTTAGCAGAGGAGCTGTGTTCTCTTCCTGTTTGAGCTCTGACTGCAAACACTGTGCTGCAGGTGGCAGGGATGTGTTTGTTGAGTTTTCCTTGGTTTTAATTTAGAGGTAGTTTGTATGAGGGACACGGAATATTACTATATTTAAACTTCAAACTGATAAACAAAAGACACCTTTTCAAACCAAGTTCCATCCACTGGCATCAAACCTATCTT